TCTATTTTAAAAGAGAAATATCAGGGGTCTGTTTAGACCCCTAATATTTCCCCAAAGCCCCTAAAAGTAAAGTAAAAAATAAAAATATTTAATAAATGAATAAAAATAAATATAAAAAAATGTTAGTTTATAAAAAATAAAATATTTGAAAAATTTGAAAAAATAAAAACATTTTCAGTTTCGGCCTGACAATTTTTTTTAAATTTTCGTTTCGGTTTTTACATTTCTATTTCGGTGCACCTCTAGTAAATTACATTTACAACTTGCAAATGACATGCCAACTTGAATTCCAAATGCGTATTCATCAATCTGAGAGGAAAAACCTAGGGGCATTAGAAAGAATTTAACATTAGTATTGCAGTATTTCAAAACATGTCTCATTTTAAAACTGCATTGAGGAGAATTGATCAAAACTGTAGACAGAATATGGGGCAGTTTCCATGGGGGCTCCTAATGTGAAGAGGAGCTCTTGATTTGAAGGAGGGAGTCTGACATTTTTATTTTTTTTCCTTTTTTTGCATGGGATCACCCCTTCAAGGCCATGCCAGACCCCGTCTTCGGATAAGGCTCTGCTATAGTTTTTTTTTTTTTTTAAGGGGCAACACATTTTTTACATGTTTACATTTATGCTTACATTTTTGCCTGGGATTCATCGATTTTGCATACTTTTAGTGGGAGCTGTGACTGAAAAAAGGTTGGGAAATGATGCACTAGACATTAATGTTTACTGACTAAAAGTGGATAACTTTTGTTTACTAACATTATAGGTTCTGTTCCTTTTTTATTAGAGAAATTAAAGAAACATTTCTAAAGACAACTGGCTTCTGATTTCAGCTGCTTAATTAGTTGATTTGCTGATTAAATCAGGTTATTGTGTAGAGTTGAGTTTTTTAGTTCTGATTTTGCAACTTTTGCTTAAGCAGCATGTAAGGTTTATCTTTTATTTCTTGACACCAGAAAGCTCAGACTAATGGACCTGAGAAACAGGAAAAGGAAGGCGTAATACAGAATTTCAAGAGGACACTTTCCAAAAAGGAAAAGAAGGAGAAGAAAAGACGTGAAAAAGAGGCAATAAAGCTGGCAACAGATGGAGAAGATGGACCTCAACTGCATGAAGACACGTATGTGTTAATTCATCTCAAAAATACATTCTAAAACTCACTAGAATCTTGCCCCCTTCCTGCTTCTAAGTCTGTGATGCTGCTCATCACAGTTATGGGACAGTGGTGGGGCCAGATTCTCAACCAAGAAAGGTGAGTCAATATTTCAGTAATCCCAGGATTCAGGACATCCATGTTGCTGAATAGGACATGTGACGTGCTATGTAGGCACCCGGAGGTTCTTGCTATGTGGTGCCAACGGTGGTTTTAGGCGGTTTTTTGTTTTTTCCATGATAGGTTTATTTTAAGGCAGAGTGACGTGGGGTACTGTAATCCACAGCATCTACTCCAAATTAATTTTTCATTGCTTCAGTTACAATAAACCTGCAATCCCCCTTTTTGATTCTTCCATGAGTATGATGAAATAAAATATGTCTTAACCTTGGGATGGTGCTCTGACATTGCCTTTCTGTGATGCATCCTTTTAATGTTTGTAATGTATAGTACTGCATGGGTTTATGGCTTGTACATTTTCAGAATAGTCCCTAAAATTCCTAATCTTTTTATTATGCTTTTATAGTGAATTTATTTATGAATCATAAATTTAGGCCAAAGTCAAAGTCTAATGTGTAATGTGGCTTAAATGTGAGTAGATCAGGTATTTGCCAGGCCAGTACATTTTCTGTTGTATGTTTGACTATTATGTGCAGACCTTTCTAACGCTCTGCTTGTATATCTCATCTCCATTACATGACACTGAAAAGAGATAAACTCTGTTTGTTAATAGGAAGATGCTAAGCAGAAACCTCCAGCTGACGGGTCCGACACAATCAATACAAATACCATCCCTTGACCCTTGTCATCACTGTTATTCTTTCACCAGTGTCATGAAGGTTTCTCAAGTGATGGCATTTGTGGTGCTTTCCAAACATTCATTTGCCTGGAATGCAGTTGGATGGATTAAGCATAAAGCCTGCATTGTTTAGTAATTCTTAATTGTTTCTTGACATGCCCTGATATAAGAGTAAGCTTGACTAAGCAGGGATATTAATGCTAGGTCTGTCACATCTCATTTATTAAAGCTAAAAGGAACACATGCATTCTTGGAAGACAACTATTTAACATAATGTCCAATGTATTTTTACTAAATATTTCCTTTATTCTTTCATTACACATATTAAGTCAAGGTTTATGTGTGTTTCATCAGCATATAGATGTATGTTGAATGTTTGTTTTTTTTTGTTCCTCCAGAATTGAATCTTTTTTTTCTATTCTATTTTTTGCGTTTGCAGGGGAATGGAACGCAGGCAACGTTTTTCCACGCGTCCGATCGCACTGCGGGCGGGGGGGGGCGTTGAAGCGGTGCCATTGAATGCACTGCACTGCCACGCTCCCTCCCCAGAACGCAGGGGGAAGTTTTGTGAGGGATTGCGGTGCGTTCCAGCAGCTACCACTCTAGAACGCAACGCATTCGGTGTCAACAAGCCTTAACACAGCTTGTTATATTAGTGTGGACTGACTAAGGCCAGCTAGCCATGCACTGCTCAAATTTCAACCACGTCCGGCTGATTTGGCCGAAATTCAAGCTTAGTGTGGCTCTGCTGGCACCATCCCTTTCGACCAAACTTGGGGGGTTATTCACTAAGCTGCTGAAGGCAGCCAAATTAATAACTGAACCGAAGTGAACGGAGCCGAGTCCTCTTCAGCTATTCACTGCAGCCATGTAGGTTATTTTTAGCCATACATGAGCTGCATTCGGCCCGATTCACCTCCCTTCTGTTCGGCCGAACCATCTCAGCATGTTCGGCCGAACCATCTCAGCATGTTCGGCCGAACCAAAGGGTAGAACCTGTTCGCCTCAGCCTATGCAGCATCTGGATCTACTGAGGCAAACGTTCGGCAGTTCCTTCTCTGCTGTTCACCCCTATTCTCATAGGGGACGACCAGCAGAAAGTGACTAGACGAACTGTCAGCTCAGCATTCGGTTCGATCATTTTGTTTGCTACCTCTTGAGGTAGAGAACAGAATGAAAACTATTACTGTAAAAAATACAAAAAAAGAGTGGGGTCCCCTTTCCAAATCTTTCCAGACCCTTTAGAGTAGTGACTGAAAGTCGTGGGCGCCGACTGTTGTCAGAATACGATAACTGACAGGGGACATTCCCCCACGCATGCTGTTTACCATTGATGGGGAAATCGTGCCTCCTTTCTCATTTAAACCTACAGGGCTCAACCTGTTAATTTCTTCTGGTGACAGCTGTCTAAAAGGGTTATCCCTTAGCTTTGGAGAGATCTCTGCATTGAATTAAAATCTCTTCCCTGATGGGACACAGACCGAAAATAAAACCTGACAAGGGTCGTGATTTTTTTACACTATTTAAACTTTTTAATCTTTTGTACATTAGCTGTTTAATCTGTGGTTTCCAACTTTAAAAGGTGTATGTAAGCTCTACTGAGCTGCTGCCAGAAAGCTGGGAAGTACATTGGGACCCATGCAGTTGGGGTTCAACCATTTGCTGCATTATCCAGAACTAAAAAAAAGGACACATGCTGCAGCCAGGATTTGATTTTCCCTTTGTGTTGGGACCAGATAGAAGATTAGTCTGTCAGCTCTGTGACACTGTACATATGACATCCTCGCATTTTCCCCCTGTCCTTGCCATTTTCATCCATTACCGCCTCATTCCCGCATCCTCGCTACAGCTACTTGCATAGGGTGTAGCAATGTGTAACATGGGCGTACTATTGTAGCTTTCTCATACGGCATTGTGCCAATAAGAACAACCTTTTTGGTGTGTTTTTTTTTTTTTTTTCCCCTCTGCCTAAAGCTTTTCATTAGCAGTTGGAGCTAACCGAACCCTCAGTCTAGAGAGAGAGAGAAATTCTGCTAAAGGATTTTGCTATTCGGAATGATGATAGGAAAGCTCATGGGCCTGCTCAGACTCCACCTATTCCAGAATTTTCACTGCAACACTGTCACATCCCCAATCCACACACGTTTTTCAATAGTTGACACACGCTTATATCATGTCTGCAACCGAACCGCACATTGTTCCCTCAGAATTGTACACATTACAGCCCACTCATTGATCGTCATTGTAATAGCTTCTGTCAAAGCATTTTCTTCACTGTCTGCATTGCGCTCTTTGCCATCTCCCCTGCTTCCATCCTCTTATTATTTATGATTTATATAGCACCAAAGGTTTGCACATTGCTGTACACAATAACTGGAGACAGTACAGTTAAAATACAATTCAGTACAGGAGGGTTAGAAGGGCCATGTTTGTGAGGGCTTACAATTTTTAAATGGAGGGGTAAGTGTTAGAAAAGGCTTGTTAAGGATGTTCGGATGGAGAAAGTAAAAGTATGTTTTTAGGGGAGGCAGGATAGGCTTCTCTGTAAAGATGATATTTCAAGGATCGTCTGAAGGTGGAAAGATAGGGGTAGGGAGTTCCAGAGTATGGGAGAGACCCTGGAGAAGTCCTGGAGGCGATGAGGGGGCTGTAAAGTAAAAGGTCTTGAGAGGAGCGCATGGTTCAGGTGATATTTTGAGACAAGGTTGGGGCAGAGATGTGGATGGTTTTTATGTTATTGTTCGTATTTTGAATTTTATTTCTTAGGTGAGTGGGAGCCAGTGTCACTGACGGAAAGGGGCATCAGGCACAGAGTTGTTTGTAAGGTAGCATTTGTGATAGACTAAAGGGTGGTTAGCCTGTGTAAAGGTAATGCTACTAGGAGGAAGTTGCAGTTGTCAAAATGAAAGATAACAAAGGAGTTGTAATTTCATGAAAATTGTACTTTTCTTCAGTGTTTTTCTTTTCTCCTTTTTTTTTTTTTTTTTTTTTTAAATTCATTTATTTGAAGTTCAAGGGCTTTACCCAGAAAATGAAATTTACATTTGTATCTACTTTTTTTTTTCTAGTGAGAACTCACGGCTGGCTGCAGAAGTTTACAAAGACATGCCAGAAACCAGCTTTACCCGCACAATATCCAATCCAGAAGTAGTTATGAAGCGACGAAGACAACAGAAGCTAGAAAAGAGGATGCAGGAGTTTCGGAGCTCGGATGGCCGACCAGACTCTGGTGATTAAACAGAAGACTTACTGTGCTACTATGTTTTTAGTACTATAATTAGAGATTTAAAAGTAGATTTTCTGAATACTATAAATGCATTATAACAGCTTGTATTAGGGGAAGGGACAGTGAAAACTTTACACTAGGTTCTTTATTTAAATTGGCATAGTACTGTTGTTGTTCGCCATGATATAAAAAGTACTAGGATACAAAATTGCTTGTCAAGCAAAAAAATGCTGAATATCGAAGGAGTTTGTCACTGCAGTGGTGAAGAGTACAGAAGGCCATGGCTACATTGGTGGAAAGTGCTGTGGCGTACATCGGTGCAGTTGAGAGGGAAGTTAGAGAGGTGGTGAAATAAGGGTTGAGAGTAAGTGTTGCTGTGCAGGTTTGGTGCGGGGGTTAGCACATTTTAGGACTTCTAGACATCTAACAGTACCATTATATCTCATTATGTTCTCACACAGAGCTCAGCTAAGTGGCCTGCTATCTAACAGTTTTGGCTTGTTTGCAATTCAGTTAGATGTTCATTTAAGCTGTCCATGCATGGGGCAAACTGTTTGATGGTTCCCGCTACGCACCACCAAATGCTTGGAATTTTTGTGTTCTCATTGACCAATGCTGGGGCATTTTTTTTTCACTCACTCTGATCCTGGGATATTTCTTTCTTCTCACTGGACATGAACGCTGGGACATTATTCCTCCCACTGAGCCTTGAACCTGGGTCATTCTTCTGACTACTGATACTAGGGCATTTTTTTCCCACTGACCCCGGACGCCAGGGAATCTTTGCTGCTACCAATTCTAGGGCATTTTTCTTTCCTCCAATACATAATATAAGCAGTACTATGTTACATATTCACGAACATCCTTCTCTGTAAGCTTTGCATTACATACTGTACTTCTGATCAAGATGTTTGTTTCAACAGTTATACTAGTTTTAACTCTATGGGGAAAAACACTGACCCCATAGTTCTCCTTTAAGCTTCCTGTTTGTCTAAAACTCTCATTGTGGTAATTTTTGTTGGTAGAATGACTTTGGCATTTGTGCAGTGTATACTGCAATTAGGCTCAGACGCTATTGGACCATGCCCTTTTAAGCAAAGCTCAATATTCAGAGCAATATTAAGTCCATTTCTTTCAAGTTCCAACATTGGGAGAAATAGTGAAACCAAACTGATCACTATAGCAGAGAAGGAAATAGCTACTTCTAAAGAATGGCAGCAAAGACATTTCTTTTGTGGTAGGTTCAAGTGAATTGCGGGCTAGTCCGGTGTTAGAATTGCTGTGTATCATTTACAATTAGGGTATATTGCCACTGCAGCAGTTAACACAAGTTTCTATTTTTTTTTTTCATATTTTCATTTCATGCTGTTTTTTGGTTTTGTTTTTTATGTTTTTTTTTAGGTGGGACATTAAGAATTTATGCTGACAGCCTAAAGCCAAACATTCCGTACAAAACTATCCTGTTGTCAACAAATGATACAGCAGATTTTGCAGTAATTGAAGCACTTGAAAAATATGGTATGGAAAAGGAAAATCCCAGGGACTTCTGCATTGCTAGGGTAAGGTTATACTATTGCTTTATTTTGCGCTTTTAATAGTATGCATGCATATATGGGTACATAAAGTACATTTTTATTTAGTGCATTTTAATTAATACAATTTAACGTATACAATTTAATTCTTCCATGATCTGTACCTACCTGTATGGTTCCATTTCTTAGCTAATCAGTTAGGATTAAGTATGTTAACAGCGGTCATTGTACTACACATTTACCCAGGCTATATTTCACATTTTAGTTATATACAGTTGTGTGAAAAACTGTTTCCCCCCCTTCCTGATTTTTCATTGTTTTGCACGTTTGTCACACTTTAATGTTTCAGATCATCAACCAAATGTAAATATTAGTCAAAGATAACACAAGTAAACAACATGCAGTTTTTAAAGGAAGGTTGTTATTAACGGAAAACAAAATCCAAACCCACATGGCCCTGTGTGAAAAATTGTTTGCCCCCCCCCCCCCCCGTTAAAACATAACTTAACTCTGGTTTATTACACCTGAGTTCAATTTCTCTAGCCACACCTGTTCAATCAAGAAATCACTTAAATAAAGGTGCCCATACACTGTACGATTATCGTACGATAATCGCAGGAAATACCGCGATCGTACGATAATCGCAAAGTGTATGGAAGGCGTGCGACCGCTTCTACTGTATGTTCGCACGTCTTTCGTCGAACAAGCAGGCTTGAAAACCTGCCGAGAATCGTACGATTCTCGGCGGGTTAGTGGCCTGCTTGTTCGACAACTGCCGAACGGACCGGTGTGCGCACACGCACACTGCCCCTTTGCAATCATCGGAAGCCTGCCCCTCATTGCAGTCATCGGAAGCCCGCCCCTCAGGGGGGCTGGCTTGCGATGATCGCAAGTATGATCTGCCTGTCCAAAATGGGCAGATCATACGAGCTTTTAATTAGCTTACAACCATCGCAAGACAAAAGTCTTGTGATGGTTTTAAGGTGTATGGGCACCTTAAGACTTGACTGACAAAGTGAAGCGTGTTGTGTTATCTTTGACTAATATTTAAATTTGTTTGATGATCTGAAACATTAAAGTGTGACAAACGTGCAAAACAATGAAAAATCAGGAAGGGGGGCCAACACTTTTTCACACATCTGTACCTAGGCCACCTTTATTGTGGTTATCACTTTGAAGTGCACAGAATTTGAGGCTGACAATAAAATATTTTAACCTCTTAGTTATACTATCATTGGAGAATTATCTTATGATATTACTCCCTCAATGTTACCTGTCCCTTGCTAGAAAGCACCATTCTGCAGTGTCTGGAGAAGTGAAGGAGCCATACCCGCTGGGGGTAGTAATGTCACTGGCAGCAGAGTCTCTGGTGTGACATCAACTTCTTTTGTTCTTGCAAGAAGCATTTCCAAGACTCTAAAATATTGATGGTACTTTATATTTCAAAAATTTATTTACTAATATCATAAAGATTTGAATGATTAATAGACTTGCCCAGAATTCAACAGTTGCGGATACTGTTAAATGTATATAAAGGCAATGTCTTTTAAGTGTTGGATAGACTTGGAGTGTGTTGAAATCTATCAGCCTTTTGTTCTGTGATCACACTGAGGTTACTTTCTTTGAGAAAGTGATAGGAAATCTAAAATTTTACAGTTGTCATCAGAACAAGAATAGAAAGGACATTTTCCAATTGGGCCGCTTGTTTAATTGACACTACATAAAAAAATCTGGTACATTAACCACTCCCTGCTCTATTCAAAATTAAATTAGGATAGTTTCCACTTCAGATATACTTTTAAGTGTACTTTTTCCTGAAAATATATTATGTTTGCCTAGGTAATGTTACCACCTGGTGGCCAGCATTCAGACAAAGGTTTGAAAGAAGCCATTCTGGATGATGATGAATGCCCTCTACAAATATTCCGTGACTGGTCAAGTGATAAAGGTAATGACACTACAAAAGGACATGAGTCATCCTATAGAAATGCTTGCAATGGTTATCAGACAATTTGCTTATTTAAAATTGTAATGCCTGTGGAGGTTTCAATGAGAAATGATAAACAAAATTATTTTTATTTTTTTTGCCTTGCACATTGCTAACAGTTAGGACCTAGTTGGCCTTCTCGTTTTTTTTGTTTAATATTGCGGTGGCAAACTGCAGGTTTCTATTTCTTCAATTATTTCTTAAAATACTATTGATTCACTTGGACAGTTGATGTAATATCCATATTATGATCGAAACCTCTCTAAACATGAGCGGAGAAGCACTAAAGTAACCCATGTAAAGGAAATATTTGAAGAAAATGTTTGTGGGATGATGAGTAGTTGAGATGATTTTCTCCTCTATACTTTTATGGATTCTAGGTAGTTTGCCTCATAGGGCACAGTATGATAGGTTTCTGCTTCTGAAATGGGCATTTTTATTTTTTCATTACCAGACATTTTGGCTACCAAATGATGGCTACCTTATTGCATTCTAGAGTGCCTTGAGATTTGGGGCTCCTCTAAAAAGTGCGGTGATAAGTTTTAACACTTATATTGGGGGACACATTTTTTCAAATCTCTGCAACAGAATCAAATGATATGCACAAACCATACACCGTGTTGTGAGAAATGTTGATTTAACAGCATGTGTTTTATCCAAAATTAAACTATATGGTCCTTGTAATATTTTTTTCTTCTTTTTGTTGTTTAATGTATTTCATTTTGCCCTTTTGACCAATATCAGTTTCCTCTTCTGAAATCTTGCTTTAATTTTCCTCAGGAGAACTTGTGTTTCAGTTGAAAAGAAGACCGCCAGATTACCTCTCAAAGAAAAACCGGAAACTTGAGGGCAAACCATCAAAGGGCAAAGAAAGGTCGGATGCCTATGGTTACTCTCTTTCACCAGATAAACTGCCCTACTTGGTAGAATTAAGTCCAGGTAAGGCAATAAATCAGTTTTTAGGTGTGGTACACTAGTTTTAACATGCAATGTTTTAGAAATGCATAGACTTTATCTTATCATTATGCACATTTAATTAAAATGTTGTTCACTGTTGACCTTGTGTATGTAGAAACTCCTCAAGCATTTTTGTTTCATTGATTATGACCTATTTTACAACATAAGCTTTAGTCATTGCAATGCAGCATTCACGATAAATACCACATTTTGATAAAAGGAAGTATTTCACTGTGCTTATTAGTTTAAGAATCTTATTAAAATTATAAAGTGGAACAGTGCTGATCACTATCCAAAATGTTGCCAACCAGGGCATGGTATTATGTAGAGCTACCACCTTGTATACAAGCCTGTAATACGATGGTGCAGAGAAGATAGCATAGCATAGGTATAGTTAATAGATTTAAGTTGAGAAGATTGGATTTAGAATTCTTGCATGTATTTGATACCTAATATTGACCACATATAGCCAAGCTCTATCTATTTAATGGTGATTTTTGGGGTTGACATACTACTTGTAGTTGGCTTCACAGAGGCCAAAATATGAGGGGGTTCAGGGGACTCAGGAGGTCAGAATAAAAAAGGACCCTCCCTCGCTCTAGTAATTGGCATTTTCTAAAAAGTAGCCTCTTCTTAATCAAAATGTCATACATTTTGGAACAGCAGTATGTTCTGTGCTTCTGATAGTATCACAGCAAGTAGCTATTAGTGGTGCTTTAAATACATCTCGAGTAAATGGGTACAACATTCATTGTACCTATGACAGACTTGCAAGCACTACTTACTGTATGTGTTCGTTCTTAGTTTTTAATAGAAACGGACACTGGCAAAGAGGCACTATGGTTTGAGTCCATTTATTGGCCAAACAATTATATGGTTAAATAAATATATATGTCAGGGCCTTGTTTAGAAATCTGTAAATGATTGTCAGATCACAACGTTGTCCAAGGTCCATTTGCGTGTGCTGATTACTGTTTGTCATTAGAAATTAGAAAAATACTTTTATGTGAAAGCGAACAAGTAATTTGGTCATTAATGCAAGCACTGCCCCCAGCTTACCAATAATGTTTTCTTCCCCTGCTCTGAGCTAAGCCTGAGTTCTGTCACAGACAGGTGCATGGTTAACAAGAAACGGATACTTCTAGAAAAGTCAATGGTTGCAGAATCTCCTTGGGGGGTAAGGTGCTGCAGTGCAGTTTGGAACAGCATACAGAAATGCCATTGGTAATATGTAGTACTGGAGGGTTCCTGCCATGTGCCATCCATAGGGGTTGTTTAGCTTTTACTGACCAGATAATAGATCATCTTGAAGTCCATCTTTTTAGTGGTTGCCTTGCAGCACTAGGGTCTTCTGTTTGAATCCAAACCAGGATTCTACCTGCATGAAGTTTGTGTGTTCTGCGCTTGTGTGGGATTCTTTGGGGTACTCCGATTTTCTCCCACATTCTAAAGATATTTTGGTAGGTTACCTGGCTCATGTCTAAATTCGCCCTTCTATGTGGATTTGAATGGGTTAAATGATCCGTAGTACATGATATGTAGCCCTGTACCCCCTTTTCCACTTACAGAGCTAGGTTATTTTTCTTTTAAATAAATATTAATGTATTTTAATGGTATCTATCTACCAGTAGCTGCCTCATTTCCCACCCTCGGCTTATATTCGGGTCAATACTTTTTCCCAGTTTTTTTGGCTAAAATTAGGTACCTCGGCTTATATTCGGGACGGCTTATACTCGAGTATATACGGTATACTAGTGACTGAGTTAGAATTGGTAATCAATCAGTAAGCTTGACATGCAGACCTAAGTATAGTTTGAAACAGTTGTTAGGAATGCTCAAAGAAGACTTGGCCTTTCAAATGGGATTAAAGAGTAAAACACATTACTCAGAACATAAAGTATGGAACTCCCTTATGCTAATGAGATTGACTTTTAAGGTAAACCTTCCATAGGTTATTTTAAAGTAAAAGCATGGATAAAAGGATGGGGGATGATCCTTCAAGTCACACAAGACGCAGACACACACACACACACACACACACACACACACACTGACACAGAAGACACAGAAACACCTGTTAGGACTATTCTACTTACAAACCAAAGACACGTTTTTTAAGCATCTTATAGACTTCTGCTGTAAGATTTACTATATTTTGTAATCATCAAGCATCTTATGGACTCATTCTGTAAGATATACCATATCCTGTAATCATTTGTAACTTTGCAATTAAAAAACATTTTGAATTTATGCAAGTAGGGAAGCATTCTTCTCTTTGAACTTCTTCCACCCAATGCTACAAGAAAAGGAATATGACATAACAAAATATTTTCTGTATGTATGTATGTAGGGACCTTAGACTTTAAGGTCCTTGAGGACAGGGACTGATATGAATGTAAAGTGTTGCTAGCAAAAGTGTGCCCTTTATAGGCACAGGCAGTAATGGGCTGCCTAAATAAAAAACTATTATCTGGTCATTTAGGGGGCGGGGAGGGGGAGACATGCATAGATCAGCAGTATACTGTAGGTCAGCCAGTAAAGTACATGGAGGACATGGTAGGAGTTGTTGTCCTGGAGTGCACAATATGCAGTATACAGGTCATCCTGGGACTTTTCATTCACATCTTTAACAGTTAAGTGTTAAGGGAATTGGGTGCAGGCAGGTGGATTTCAGACTGAGGGTTGCCACAGTGCTTTCCTGCTTGTTAACCTCTTGCCGTTTCGCTGAATACTGAAAAATGGCCTGGATGGGAAGGGGGTTTAACACCGCGGATGTCAACTGGTTAATAGACTGTTCAGCAACATAACACGTCTTGCTCACTTTAATCTCACCATTAAGTATTTTTTGATTTGCACATGAGTAAATGGGAAATAACTGCGCACTCAAATATTTTTATTGTTACCGTGTGTGGCAGGTTGCATTTGTTTCTTAATTTTGTAAACCGGTTTTACTAGTATGTTGAAAGTTCTTCACTAAAAGTAAGGTAGCATTGATGCCTGCAGACAAAAAACTTCTTTATTACAATGTATAAAAGTATTTCAAGTGTGCATGCTATAAATAGAAGCCAAACCACGCACAACTTTCCCATTTATATAAATTCCACCACTGAATGTATGTGCCATACATGATTACATTTTAAAACACACTATTTGGACGTTCTAGGCTGCCAATTCACACTTTCCTGTCTTCTCTCTTACTGCTTTTCTTGGCATGCTCTGCATGGCCTGTTTTGCTGGTGGTGTCTTTTCCTGGGTCCTGTCTGTGTATGTGTTCTGTCCTCAGGCAGAAGGAACCACTTTGCCTACTACAACTTTCATTCTTGTGAAGGTAATAATGTGTTTACAAACTAATGGAGCAGCAAAACAAGTGCTCATCTGTTTCAAAATCGCTCTTGCATTCTTCCTGATTTCTCATGTCTTTGTTTTATATTGCAAACATAACAAGATTAGAATTGCCATTACCTGTATTGGCCTCCTTTTTATGACATTTAATTTATGATCCAATAAGCACAGTACAGTAACCTATAGCAACCAAACCTTTCACTTACATTTTTAAAATGTCAAATATATTTAAAGAAAAGATTCTTTTAAAAACACATTTAACATTGTTTTTTCAGTTGTCCATTGAGGGACACAGTGATTCTATTACAGGTAAGTTATATTGCTGCCTACAGGAAACCTCCTGTAGACCCTGGCAAAAAGAAAAAGTTGCAAGCTAGCCCCCATATTATGCCTCCTCCTTTTACCCAGCATGCCTCAGTTTTTTGCTAGTGTTCTAGGAGGTTGGACGCTTTTTCTTTAGTTCCGCTGAAAATATTCTCATCTTTTTGCTAGCTTTTTAACCATGGTGGCTTCAATCAAGATTTTTTTTTTGCTACACTGCTGCTTTTTCCTCTGTGACTTCCATCAAAATTCCTTGCTATACCACTGCTAGAGCTGGGGTCTTTGAGTTTCTACATCCGCAGAGACCTTCACCTTATACCTGATTTTTCAGTGATCCCTCTATGAGGAATAGAAATACCTTGAAAGGTCTTGCCCCCCTCCTGACATTGGGTTCTAGCTCTTGTCTTTTCAGAGGGAGCTAATTTGGTGATCTCTTTTCACTGTATATGCAGCAGCTATCCACATTAACAAGTAGACCTCCAAATGGGTTAGAGTTGTTCCTACCGGATTTTACTGAGAAACTCCTTCCTCGTATTCTTGTTTGAATTGATTAGAGTGGCTCTTTGTTTATTTTGATGGTGACCGTAATCTGCCAAACCTTATCAGAATGGTTAGACTTCCTTCTCGCGCAAGGGCAGGCCTGGAGCTTTGTGTTTCAGTTATGGCTTGTTGCAAGCATTAAGAGTCTTGAATTGACTGATTTCTGTTCAAATGCATAGGGCACTCTAGTTGTGTGCTTCGGACACTGATAATTTGTCTATGGAATATATGACAAAGACATCGAAAGACATCATCTCGAGTCCTGCTCTTGCATTCTCATTAGCAATGCCACCAGTGGCCTGTCCCAGTCTCCATAAGGGAGGCCTGTGGGAGGGTCAGGGGAACCCCACCCTGCTCTCTAACTTTCTTTTTCAGCTGAGCTTGCTTTTCACTCAAACCTCAGGGCTAACAGCCAGAGGTCTTCCTTCATATCCCTTTTGCAGGAAGGTGCACCCCCACTTTTTCGTGTAGGTGGCTGTTTGTCAAGCTGTGCCTTCTCAGTGTTTGGGGTCCTTAGTTCACCCCCTGTAGTTAATAGACTAAGCCCCTGTGATTAACCTCCTGTTCAGCTGTCCAATATTACACTTCTGATAGGGCTGTTTTACAAGGGTGTATCCACTCAGTCTTTTTTGAGTACCCTGCACTTTGGAACCTCTAGTCACTCCCTTGGCAGGAACTTACATTCAAGAGTGGTATCCCTTTTGAACTTGCATCCTTCGCTGATCTGGTTCTGTCCATTCAGCATTCCCCAGAAGTACCTGCTCTAACCTGGTTCAGCATCCCTATTGCTGAACTCTCAGGAGACCCTGCTTTAAGAGAGTCCGTTTTCTGGATTTTGCAGTCCAAATCCTTCTGCAAGCCCATACATCTACAGGTCTGGCTTGGAGATAATTGGGACTGGTAATTTGGTTCTCCAAAAGGTGAGGGGGTTTGGCTTTGGCCCTCAATATAAAAGTCCCCATCTGCTGATCTTTTGCTCAGTTTCTTACATGTCAAGTAAATTGGTCCTTTCTCCCTCTCCTGCTTTGCGGGATGTCTAGGGATTCCCCTCTTACTATGGACTCCCCTTTTCCTGTGTGCACTGGGTCGTTTTCAGCCTTCCTTTCTGTGTCAGTTTCAGGGCTCTAGGAGAATGATGCCCATGTCTGCTTTGCATTCTCCGTTTGTGGATGGGACAGTGCCTTCCCTTCTGGAATTTCTCTGCTGTGGACCTCCTCATGGTTCACCACCTGTGTGCCACTTTTTTCCAGCTGAGCATTAAGTATCCATTGTTGGATGGCCCTGTAGTCCCCTGGACTGCAGCAGGCGCACCATCTTAGGGTCCTGCTGCAAGTACCCCCTGTGGGGAATACTGCAAGCCCAGAGCTCTGTTTGTGACCTGATCACCAGTAGTTGATTCATTTGCGGCTGTTTTGCAGCCTTCTGAGGAAGTTCTATTGATTCCTTTCCTGCTCCCATTCAGGCAAATGTGCCCAGTAGTAGTTCTAAGATTCCTGCCCCTTGCTCTGCCACAGAGGATGCTGCATTGGTTTGGGACAAGGTAAATGAATCCTAGAATCATTTGAAGCCTTCCATCATCATGGACCCTCTTTCCTTGCTTCTAGGGTTAAGAGTACAAACCTTGAATCTTATCTCTTCTATTTTGACAGGCTGTTCTTTTTATATTGTTCAAACTTCCCTCTTGAAATTTGGTATTTCCTATATCTGGGCCCAGTGTTTTTTCTTCTGTTGAACTTCTAGGTTGTTGGTCAGTGTTTAACCCCATTTTGGCAGAGGGTCTTTTGTACCTATTGGTGGTTGACTCCCCAGTTTTCACTGGCAGGGACTAATTGCTCCTTCATTCAGAAGTTTCCTCTTAGTTGTGGTTTCTTTGTCCTGCTCTGGAACATCAGGTTTGGTTTCTTTGTCCTGCTCTGGAACATCAGGTTCATCTGCTGTCTTCCCCCTGGCCATGGCAGTTCCATCTATCCTTGGTTCAGGAGGTGGTTCCTTCGGTTTCCTCTCACACGAGATGGTTTAATTTTTAATTGGCTCTATCGGTGACTGTTGACCACCCTTTAGTTTAACTGTTTTTGGACATACTAACTGTAATAAAATTCCTGTGTGTGTCAATTAATGATACTGTACTTGCCATAAAATCTTTTTCTTTTAGTCCATTGAGGGACATAGGTCCCACCTCCTGTTATTTTTCTCTGGCCCTGTGTATGAATTTCTTACAAAACAGAGTCTTGCTGTGTAGAGGAAAGGTTACGGGTGGCTGGCTCTGAACTTTTTTTTTTTTGCCAGTATCCTAAACTCCTGTAGGCGACAGTATAACCCAACAGTGTAATACATTTCTGTGTCCCTCAATAGGCTACAGGGAAAATATTTTGCGGTGAGTACAAAAATCTTATTTTTTCCCCATATGATGCTGTTCAAAGATTATTATTTCAGTCTTTGTTATGGGTATTGACAACCTGCCTTCCCCACATCTGCTGGGGCATTCTTTGCTAGGTCTAAGGACCCATTAACATGTTGATATTAATGAAAAGGTGTTAAAACACGTTTTGCAATGGACTTTCCATTGCACATTAACATGTGTTTACGTGCATTGCTTCATGGGTTTTCATTTATTTTGATGCTTATGCATTGATTTCAGTTAAAAACACATCAGGCAAAAATGTGAAGATGTGAGTTTAGCCTAAATAAGTAAATGTTGTCAACGCTAAGTTTTGAAAATTAGGATAGTAGACCTTTAATTTTAAAGCTTGGACATTAAAGTTTCAGTTAACCCAATTTTTTTCTTTGCTGCATTATCTTTGATAGTATTTTTTTAGGATGCAGATGCTTTCCATCATGCATATTTTTATTATCAGTAAATACTTGGTTGCCCCTGCTGCTTCCAACAGTCTACAGGCTGCATCAGCGTTTTCTTGCTTGCTTCGGCCACCGATCTCACATTTGTTGTGCAGAGCAATCATGAGAATATCGCATGACCATGGTATTTAGCAGCCTAAAGAAGAATTTTGACATAAATATTTTAATGTGATCTATAGACTGCTGCTTTAATTGTTCGATTACCTTTTCATACATATGAACTAGTGGCAATAGGTTTAATGACACTTTAAGGGAGGGGAATATATTTGCACACATATATAAAAAATGTTGTATATATGCAAGATTCATGTTGGCGGACAGTTAAAAATACAGGCATTTATTGTTCTTTGATATTATAACTGTTATAAAATAACTGTTATAAACATAACTAGAATTACAAAATGATTACGTTTACTCTAGAATGTTAAATCATCCAGATTTTTTTTTTTTTGCTATTTTGAGATGGGTCAGACTCTAGAGATAAGCCAAAGCTCTATCGTCTTCAGCTAAGTGTCACTGAAGTTGGAACTGAGAAACTTGATGAGAATTCAATACAGGTGAGATACTGTTGGATGGTAGCACTGCAAAGTCATTGATATCCAAACATTCATACCATTTTGTTACTTTTTTAAGTTTTTTTGCCATTCTAAGATTATGTTTACAGCTCAAAAATATATTCTTCATCATTCATTGAAGCACAGCACTGTAGATTCAGCAGCAAGTGGGTGTACTGCCACCTACAACATAATACATGGAGTGAAACAAAAAAGGGTTTAGCTCCTTTCAGTGGTGTTATCTCTATACATGCTATGTAGCTAAATTTAGCCTAGTGTTCTGAGGAGGTTGGACATCTTTCTTCAGCTCTTCTGGATCAAGGCTGCTTGAGCTGGATTTCTTTATTGAAGGTGCTGACATTTTCATACCAGATGTTGTCTCTTCAATAGTGAACGAGAGCAGTGTCTTCTGGTTAGGCTGAAACTGGTTGGTTTTGCATTTACCCACAACCTCTATGGTCACCTGTAGGAGGTTCTGACTCATCCTGGTTGGCAGACCAAGCCTTTAAGAAAGTGCCCTTTAATGAAGCTCTCCATTAGAGGAACGCAGTTTAGTGCTATCTTAGATAAAAATCATCCAGAACACTACCTTAAATAAGAATACCCCCAGTCTCGAAAGGCTAGAAGCCCTCAATGCAAGGGTGCATGCACCTTCACTGTGTACTAGTATTCCTTTCATTCATAAGGAACATTTTCTAAGATCATGTATTCTTCCAATTTAGCCACGTCGGCTTGTTGCCAAGCATGCTTGCCAAGCCCATGGAAAAATTCACTTCAGTATGAAGGCTTGCCACCACCAGCAGATCTTAAGGTGAGAGGGGACATTAGCCTTAGCAAATTGTTTGATTTCAGTACATCTCAGATGCTTGAGTACAGGCGGTATTGTCCATGGGCTATAAAATTGAATTGCAGTCCACTCCTCCCAACATATTTTTTGCCACAAAGTTAATGCTTTTCCCTTTTCCCCTCACCTCATAGTTCTAGCCGACCTGTGAAAATGAAACTGTCACAGGTCGGCTCAGTAGATCGGGAGGTGAGCGAACACATACCGGCATTCGCTCACCTCTCGATCCTGTCACGACTCTCTGCCGTGACGGGGGAGGGGGCGGGTACAGCTGGCTCTGCCGCTAGATAGGCAGAGCCAGCTGTCAGTCACGCAGCTGGGCGGATCCAGACATAATTGTCGGGATCCGCTTCAGCTGAGGCGTCTTAGTATACCGTGAGCAGCAGCTCGCGGTATACTGAGCCTAGGGTGAAGGGAGGACGCTAGTTTGTGTCCTCCCGTTACCCTAAGGAGAACTATGGGGAAAAGCCTTAACCCCATAGTTCTCCTTTTAAGAAGTCCTCCTCAGTTTCATATCTTTGACTGGTGTCTTCTTAGCCTTGATTCTGTATACCAGAAGGATGAGAATCCTTGTTCTACTTTTTTGGATACAGGTACAGCTCATGTTCGCTGCACACTTGGTTAAGATTACTAGGACTCATGGTCTTCAAGGAAATTCCATTTGCTTCATTTTATACCAGCACTCTGCAGAGTGAAATCCTGTCTCCATGGCACAAGACTCCGTTGTCTCTGGACAGGGAAATTCATCTTTAACTTCAAACTAGAGCTTCTGATCAGTTCTCTCATGCTGACATCAGGAGAATCCTTCTTAAGGTGCCCATACACTGCACGATTCTCGTACGAGAATCGCGGGCAATCCCGCGATCGTACGAGAATCGTGCAGTGTATGGAAGGCATGCGACCGTTTCTACTGTGCGGTCGCACGTCTTCCATCGAACCAGCATGTTTGAAAACCCGCCGGGAATCGTACGATTCTTGGCGAGTTGGTGGCCTGCTGGTTCGACAACTGCCGAACGGGCCGGTGTGCGCACGCGCACACTGCCCGTTTGCAGTCAGCGTAAGCCTGCCCCTCATTAGTCATCGCAAGCCCGCCCCTCAGGGGGCGTGGCTTGTGATGATCGAGAGTGCGATCTGCCCGTCCAAGATGGGCAGATCGTACGTTTTTTTAATCCCTTTACAACCATCGCAAGACTAAGGTCTTGCGATGGTTGTACAGTGCATGGCCACCTTTAGATGCACACCAGGGATGCAAGCCTCTCCAGTTTTGGCAACCTGCAGGGCAAGTTGTTAACCTGTTTTAAAGCTTTTTCCTTGCTTTCTCAGAGTCTGATCCTACATCCTGCTTCAGTCACTGAATTTAATTGAATAGCTGTTGAAACATGGTTGCTGAGTTACAGAAGTATCATCATCAGACAGAAGCACCATACTTTGTGCCTTTTATTCTTAGGGTCACTCACATTCTGAGGCCTCGCCTTGAAGTGTGGAATCTTAATTCAGTCCTTTTTAGAAACCTCCACTTGAAACCAGGGAGTTTCCCTTGTAGACAAATTGCCTTCTTTGTAGCTATAATCTTCGCAAGGATGAGGCTGGAGTTGGTGGCCTGGTCTCACAAGGCTCAGTTTTTGGTCTATTCACAAGTATAAGGTTTATTTTTGGCATAGGATATCCAGCTCTCCAATGGTCAGATGCACCTCCTATGCTATGAACAGCTCTGCTGAGGAAGCATAAGCTCTGTTAATTGGAGCGGTATACATAATGATATGTCAGACTACTGGAGACCTGGCCTCTGTGTTGTGTGTGAAAGCAGCAGCAGTCTGACTCCCTGGCATTTAAAAAAAAACAAGCATATTACTGTGTATTCAGCAATCCTTATAAATTGGTATTTTTAGATCTCCACTTTTCAGCAGTCGGAAACACTATAATCACAAAAAACTATGTGAAACCCACTGGTGGCAACTCGTATTTACATTTCCAAAGTTGCCACCATCCCAGATGATAGCATTCCAAAGAGCCAATTTTGGAGGGGAAATTGTTTTGGAACAACGGACTACTCCATCCATCGCCAACTCCTTGCTGACAAATTCAAAGAAAAGTTATACCCAGACAAACTCATTCAAGATGCCTATTCCACATACCGGAGTCCAAACTCGCAGAATTGGACTGTACCTCCCAATCCTTAAGCGGATGTGAGATTATTTACCACCTTCTACAAAAGTCAAAATGCAATACAGCGTATCATCCGGAAAAACTGGCACATTCTACAAAACGATCCTAAATTAGGCCCTCTACTCCCACCCAGGCCATCAGTCATCTTTAGAAAAGCCAGAAACATAAACAGAGTAGCGCCCAGTAAACGACCAACAATCTGGTAAAAAGGGTCAACAATGTCTGGGATTTGACAATAGAGTGGGCTATTAAAGTGCAGGAAACCCAGATGTCTTATACAACAACAAATATTTAATCGCCTGTTCACACGACCATGTTATTTACAGCCTAAGATGTTCTTGTAATCTGTTATATGTAGGCCGGACTTTAAGCCCATTATTAAAAAAAAATAGGGGAACATAGAAGACTAATTGCTGATGGTGATTGTGACCATAGTGTTCCACGACACTTTGCCCACAAACACGGTAGAAGGATTCACAACCTTCATATCTTAGCATTAGATCAACTCGACACTCTTGCCCCTACAGGACTAAATGAGGAATTGAATATTCAAACAATAATAATAAACCAATCTTCTGCACCACACACCCTTGGTTCCCCTTATTTCATCGAAGGTTCCACTTTGTCCATTCATCACAGCATCCATTTTCCCCAAACAGTTTCACGCGTTACTGTAGTGGATATCCCCAAAACAATGGTTCTGTCTGTTCTCAATAACTATCCTTTTACTTGCTCAGATGACATGCTTTTAAATAGTTTATATAAACACTTTTTAACCAGCTTTATGCATCCTGAGGGCGAGCAGAGCGCTAAGCCACACAGACAATTCTGCATGTATGAGCAAAATCCATTCTGAACATTTTTTATTGGTCCTTTTTATTGTTCTTAATTGTAGTTGTAAATTCATTTAATAAAAAAAACTTTTTAATCAATCCTCTATATCTACATTGAAGTATGTATTACTTGAAGTAAATCATTTTGCTCAGCTCTATCACACATCCTACCTTACCCGTAACGGACTGGAGCTCCGCCCACCTGTCAATTTCAAACCCTATTTAAGGTGCCGCTATCGCACACGTCCTTTCATTGTTTTGGGGCTTGACAAAGAGGTACTCCTCGAAACACATTGCTCTTTTATCCTTCCTTTCACCCCACTGAATCCCTCTGACACCTGTGGTTTCAGCCTGACTTCGAACGGGTCACACGGGCTCACCGCTGTCAGGACTCTTTATCATCCAGATCGATCCCACATACTTTGACTGCAGAGTCTTACCCAGCGGCAGTCTAACCACAAGCCCCTTCTCAGTCATTCCCAGTGATGACACCGGACCGTTCATTGATTTCCCATTAATGTCCACCTGATCACCGACATAGCAGGGGCGCTCACAGCCTACAGCATTGAGGTCCTCCGCCTCTAACAGCCGTGAGGTAATACACCATTCTTCCTAACTCAGAACAACAGTGATCTCTGGCTTCTTCATCCTCTGTGTACTCCATACAAAACTCCTTGCGGTTATCCTGTTTTCAACACACGGCATTCCAACTACAGCTGAGAGGACATTGCAGCCCACATCTGATACCATCGATCCTCCACTAAGGCCGCACGACTTTCGGTCCCAACCAGTATCATGTGAGTAGATCCATTAATTTACAGAAAGCCATTCCCTTTCATCTTTTCACTAATTATACCCCCATATTTAGTTGTTAGGGTTGGGGCGCTTTTGTTTTGTTTTGCAGTTAAAAAAAACAGCTGCTTGAAGCTTGCCAAATTAATTGCAAAAGCATGCTTTACATATTGCTCTTTTACATACTGTCTATGTTATTAAGACAGTGTAAAATTTTGCTGTAGCCCGCAATATACCCTCATGTATTTGAATCTACAGTGCTGTCTATATTATCTAAAATATTCAAGTTTCTGTTTGCTTTATATTTGAATTTGTACTCCATTTTTTTTTTTTAAATTACACCGCTAAAATAGTTTTATATTTAGTTCTTTTGAAATAAGAAGTATAATTAAATAGTTTGTTCTAGTTGCGGTGTTCCTTTTAGGATGCAGCATTGTAAACTGCTGTTTGTATTTAATACATATACACTGCTGTATTTCTTACAGTTGTTTGGCCCAGGTGTCCAGCCCCATCACTGCGATCTTACAAATATGGATGGAGTAGTTACAGTCACCCCAAGAAGTATGGATGCTGATACTTTTGTTGATGATCAGCGTATCACTGAAACTACCATGTTACACAGTGGGGTGAAGGTGCAGTTTGGCTCATCACATGTTTTTAAATTTGTGGATCCCAATCATGACCAGTTGCTGGGTAAAAGACCATCAGATGCTGGACAGATGTTTAGAGGACAAAGGGGCAAGATGGGGTAAGTTTTTTTAAATGTTGCTTATCTTAAAAATTTAGTTTTCTATTTTTAACTGTCTTCTTTCCTGTGGAAAGAACCTTCAAATTCTTGTCGCAGAAGTCTCAGGTGTCCCCATTCACATGCGGCCACTGTACCCATTGTAGCTATTGACAGGGCACAGCAGCCACATCTGTCAGCGGCACTCTGAATGTAATTGTACATGGTTTGATTACATGCAGTTTGGGATAGATTGTCACTGGACACAGGATCGCAGCGCGTAAATGCTGCCTCACACCTTGTTTACAAGACTCTCAGCTTGCATGTTTTCTGGGATTCCAGTATGTGATTTAAAAAAAAAAAAAACCTGCACACACTTTGCTACACCCATTAATTGGTTCCCATATAATTCTTAATGAATACAGAGTTGGATCAATTTGTGCCATTTAACAGTACCTCCGTTTAATTTTGTCCCTTGGAAAGGTTTGTGTTCAAAAAGAGAATATAAGGCAGCTCCAGTTCTTGCAAGTGCTGAGTTAGGAGTCCCAGTAGCTCTCTTAAAGAGCTATAAAAAATACTATTTTATTCTTGAATCATGGCATTTCATGATCTGCATTACTTGTCTGTCTAGTTAGTTTGCCAAGCCTCTGTGTCACGCCTATATTAATAAAGAGGTTAAAGTGTTGTTTCCCCTTTTGCAGACAAATTGAGATAAAACCTACTTTATTATATTTATTTGTTACACAATATGTTCCCATTCACGTAGCATACCTTTTAAAATGTAAGTATCGATTTTTTAAATGTTTTTTAGTGCTTTTTACTTAAAATCCTAACTAGCTTTCCCCCTTTGTAATGTTAAGGACCGGGCTGTGGGAAGTTAAGTTTAGTCTAATTAACCCTGTCTGTAATCTGTGCTTGTCTTTCTGCAGGGAGGAGGCGAGCAGGCAGATCCCTGGTGATCTGGTGTGATTAGTAAGGTCTGCAGACATTACTAATCACTCCGTTTTCGACCCGGAGCTCAGTGAAGAGCTCCGGCCGAAAGGAAGGGAGACAGACCAGCAGGAGCAGCTGCTCCCACTAGTCAGGTACGCGATCTGCGACCGCAAGCCTGACAGGAATTTCCACTCGCCTGCACTGCATTTCCACTTGCCAAATGCGGGCAGGCGAGTGGAAATTTTGAGCCCTGTGCTAGAGTATTTTATTAACAGCTGCAAACTAGATTAAAACTGCTAGTCTGTCCTATCAAAGTGTTATAGACTATTAAAACCACATTCAATGTTAGAATTTTGTTTGTCTTAAAAGTCCCTGTATTCAAGGCCCCTTTGGACAAGAAGTTAGAAGCTCTTTCCAAGGCTTTGTTCTCCCTTACAGGTCCTGCTATGCAATGTGCTGTTGTGACCATTTCCACCTGCCACACCCAAGCTGTGTTGTCCAAGCACATGGCTTGAGACCCTGGATCCATTCTGATGGACCCATCTTTACTCTAGCATGTGGAGCTCTTGCCCATGGCCCTTCGCTGAACCTCCTTTCAGCACATGTGCAGTGGATCGTTTGGTTCAAATGTTGGTATGCGGGACTTCCGTGCAAGAAGCACCTCATGAGGATGTGCTTTTGAAGGGGATTGCCTCTTTTGGTGATTTCTTGAGCACCTATGTCAAGCAAGTCTCACAAGGGGAAGAGTACTCTTTTGCCATAGAAAAAGAAGGGCGAAACTCCTGCTTAAAAGCCTTCGGCCAGATCCTGAAACAAGCTCTCCTCTGTTTAAGAGGGTGCCCCCAATTTCCAGAGTGGGAGGGGGAACATCTGTCAGTCTTTGTGGCCATCTAGTATAAGGACAGCCTGGATGCTTCGGTCCAGAAGGTCGTATACAGGAGCTACCAACCTAAGTTTTTGTCTGCCTCCACTTCATGCTCGTAAACTTGCCAACTTCCTTTTCTTCGTTCAACCTGCGGGCTAAACAAAGAAAATTTAACAGATTCTTCCATTTAACACTCATGAGCATTGATCGAAGAATCTCCCATTGTCTTTAATGTATTCTGACAGCGGCTGACGGCCACTGTCAGAATAATTGAACAGAGCTAGCAGCTCATTGGATGCCACCTCTGTTAATGCGAAGATTTTCTGACCGGCTCCTATGATCAGCTGATCGAGGGATGCTGGCCGAAAGGGTGCTGAGATTTCAGATGGTTCATCAAGAACTGGCTTAAAATCGCATAGTGTATTTAAACTTCTAGGCATTGATCATGGATCTTTAGTGATGCCTACATTGACTATTTGATTAGTGAATATATAGTTTCTTTTTCACTCAGCATTTTTATTTGCCTGAATCCTAGGCAACTTTTTTTATACATCTAATAGGTACTGCCTCATTCAGGGGGGAAGAAAGAAAATAAAAATGAACCAAAATGTGCTAGTCAGCAAATGCTAAAGCCTTCATTTTTATTTTTAGGGTTCAGGAAACCACATTTGGCCTGGAAGGAGATGTGCTTAGTGGCTCTTCGCTGCAGTCCAATAAGGTATAAATATTTGTCTAGTGTTGTCCTGTAATGAAAAAATGTCATATCCAATGATACGTTAGGGTGCTTGTAGTGACTACGGGTGCTACCGTAGATAAGCAAAACTTGATTAGGATGTTACCAGCACACCAAAGTAACGTTGAAATCAGCAAACGTCCATTTATTTAGCAAATGCCATTCAGACAAGCGCTTTCGGGGCCTCACAGGGTCCCTTCATTAGGCTCAGAGATAATGGCTTTTTTTCCTGAAAATATGACCAGATTTGTATTTTTTATATTTATATATATATAATTTCTTTATTTTTAACATCAAGTGAACAATAAAAAAAATGTAATTATACATATTTAGCTTAGGTGAAATTGTTTTGACTTTTATTTGTTCTAGGGCTCTAGTAAGTTGGACAGTGATAAAATGGCAAGCTCTACAGAACGTGGCATGGTAAAACCAATGATACGTTCAGATAAGCAGCAGGAATACCGTAGTCTGGATGGCAGGTAAGAAAATAGAATTTACTTGAAATGTTTTGTGTTCTCCCTAGCATAAATTAGATATATAGCTTTAGCTTTTTTGGGCTATCCATGTACCTCCTAAATTTTTGGTTGTCAGCCAGTGGGCTTGATGAGTGAAAATCTCTTGATTCCCCCATCCATGCTAAACCTTGTGAATGGAGGAATCTCCAGTGCTGGCTGTTGTATTTAGACAGCCGCGGCACCTGCAGCAGGCTGAATATTGAAACAGTGACTTCAACTGATAGGATGCTGTCACCATTTAGCTGGGAATTTTCCACCTGGCTCAGTCGAATTTTAAATTAAATGTTGTTGAACTAAGTGGTGGTGATAGGGGACACCCATAGCTCATATAGCTTTGTATGCTTTATTTCTTTGATTCTGATGGGAATTGATGATCTCTCTATTTCGTTTTTCTCTCTATTTATGATCACACGTATCAATGTTATATCTATCGATCTATCTTTATCTATCTGGGATCTTTTACCATTTGCAGTATTTCTAAATAATGACTACCACCTCCATCCCACTGCATATCTGCCATACTACGTAGCAGCATAAAATCTTGGAATATTTATTTGAAGAATATTATAAATTCAAGTAATTTAGAAACATTGAGAACTAGACACGAAATGCTCAATGCTGGTTTTCACGTTTGGTAAACTTCTAGGAAGTTATTTTAAAATCTAGCTCAGGATAAAAAAAATTACACTGCATATTTTTAGTAAACCACAGAAGTGTGTGACCATTTTTATCCTGCAGTGTTATAACTATTTCCTTTGCGCCCATGCATTTACTTCTGGAGAGAAGCTGATGAAGCGGACCTCTGGGGGTCCCTAGGTGACAATAGGGGTCACTCACTTGTAAAAGAAAAAACAAATTTTTTGTAAAAGTATACATGCATACATACATACATACATACATACATACATACATACATACAAACATGTATGCGCATACATGCAAAAACAATGATAGCGCCCATATCGACCGCAAACGTCGCAGTGAGAGCAATAGTTCACTGATAACACTAAACTGATGAGCAGTAAAAGCTTTTAAAGCGTCGCCTATGGTCAATTTTGGGTATGGTAGTTTTTTGCAATTTCGCAGGTGCGCGCAATTTTAAAGCTTAACATGTTTGGTCTCTATTTACCCAACGTGACCCCATGTTTTATATTTTACAAAAAAAATTGGGTAATAATAGTGGTATTATAACATAATGTAAAAAAGAATTCCCCCAAAATGTTCAGTAATTTTTCCTTAATATAGCAAAAATAAAAACCTGCAGTGGTGATTAAAAACCACCAAAAGAAAGCTCTATCTGTCCCCAAAATATGGTATAAAATTTAAATTAATTTCAGTACAGCGTTGCATGACGGAATAAATGTCAAAGTACCGCAGCAATGACTACTGAAAAATGGCCTGGAGAGGAAGGGGGTGTAAACACTTGGTGTTCAGGTGGTTAACAAGGGTTTTTACTGAACAATACTGTTTTGTTGGGTAGAAAGAGCAACACAAGCAAATGCTGCTAGAAGAGCCAAGTTGACCCATGTCTAATCTCGGCTACCATCTCTGCCTACACAGCTTTTGGCTGACTTAAGAAGTTGAGAATCTTCACTGAAAAAAAAAATGTGACTGTTAACTTAATTTATCCAGTCATGTAAAATAGATCTCCACTTGTTTGGGTATTTAAAGTTTCAGACGTGTTGTTTAATGAACAGCTCTGTTAACCACCCCCGGCCGGGAGCTCTCTGGATCTAAGCGGGCGGTTTTGAACTTCTGCTCAGCCACGCCCACTTGCGCACTCGGTAAAGTCCCAAAATGTAAAACATACATTGTTTACATACAAGCGAGCCGGCGGATCGCTTGTATGAGGTGCCGGTATGTGCGCTCCCCCCTCCTGCTGTGCCCGGTGTGAGCCCGGGACCAGCATGGTGGCTCTCTAACAGAGCATCAGAGTGAGATCGGTACACGATCTCCCTCCGGTCCCCTCTGCGCTGTCAGAATGTGGAAGTGATGTATATCACTTGTCACTTGTGTCACTCTCCAGCTTCAGAAGCTGATGAAGCAGATCTCTGTAAAAAAAAAAAAAATCCCGAGTGGTGATTAATTAATACCAAAAGAAAGCTCTATCTGTCCCCAAAAAATGGTAAATTCATTTCAGTACAGCGTTGCATGATAGAATAAATGTCAAAGTACCGCAGCGCTAAATATTAAAAAATGGCCTGGCCAGGAAGGGGGGTGTAAATACCTGGTCAGCAAGTGGTTAATAACCAGATTTTCTGTTGGGTGCGACAATTTCTTCTGTCTGAGAATTTGTAACAAATGAGAATTTGGGCTCACTAGTCTTAGATTTCTATACACTAGAGGGCATCAGTTCCCTCTTTAATATTGCTTTTAGCAGATTCAGGATCAGCATCCATCTCGCAACACCCATTTTTCCACACATATGCTAAAATGTGCTTTTTGTACATGAACGTTTACTTTTAACCCCCAAAACAATATCATAATACTAATAATAAAATTATTGTAGTTGCAATTTTGGTTGCATGATTTTTGCGCAATTGTTATATTAATTGTTAAATGTCAAATCTATATGTTCAGTGCAGAATACACTTAAATACATTTTAGTGTTGAGAGACACAATATCATTTTTTAAGTTGTATATAACAATTGAGATTATTTTCAAAATCGATTAGTTAGCTGATTATTAAGTTTGATTAATCGGATAAAAAATAAAATACATTTTAAAAAATGGCTCCAGTCCTCAGCTCCCTCGAGAATGACCCTATTTGAACATTGCTGCAACTCAGACCCACACGCCCCAGGTGTCATCTCTCTGATCTACTCCTCTCTACTATCCTCCACTTGTACCACCCTTGCTCCCTATCAGCGTCAGTGGCATGAGGAATTGGGCAGAACCCTATCACTTGAGGACTGGCAGCATACCTGGTCAGCAATAGCGCGTTGCTCCCACAACGTACTTTCACTCGAGAATTCCTACAAAGTGATGTACCGTTGGTATTACACGCCTGCCCGTCTGGCGAAATATTTCCCCTCCTACTCCCCACACTGCTTCCGGGGCTGTAGCGCATCAGGTACCATGATCCACATTTGGTGGACATGCCACCGGGCGGCACACCTCTGGAATCGTGTCTACGAGTTACTCAATTCTCTCTTCCAACTCACCTTGACGAAGGATCCGTGCAAGGCATTGTTACTCCAACCAATTCCACAGCTAACGCGTTAGCAGAAGCACCTTGTGTCCCCCATTTTTGTCGCCACCAAAATGACAATCGCCAGAGCGTGGAAAACTCCAACCCTGAGCTTCGGGGAAGTTAAAAATCGCCTGGACGATATTTTGGTGAACGAGAAACTGACGGCAGTCCTGTCCGACACGCACGATCGCTTTCTACTGATCTGGCAACCTTGGATTGACTACTCTAAACCACCTTCCTTCGATCCACACCTTCTATCCATTTAGAGGCTCTGTACTTCCCAACTCCCCCTGAACCCCTCTCCCAGCGTACCTTACTCCCCCTCTGTTCCGTCCCATACCCGGTCCTCCCCTCCTTCCCCATTTTCGTGTCCTCTTCCTTTGCTTCCCCTGTTATTATCCCTAAACTGATTTGTGCTGCTTGACCCCCGTCTTATTGGCCCCGGATGTCGCGGGGTAGAGGGCCGTAGAACTCATTGGCCTCGACCCCACGATACCCAGGCATCGGACCTGATGAACCCTCCCCTGTGTTGCCCCATTCCATGTTAACCCACTGAGCCTGAACTGCAATAGCTCCTTCTAACTCCCAAATTGCACTCTGGCACTTGCCTCACTGCTCCTGTTCTACGGCCTGCAGGGCTCTGCACGATGCTGTAGCTGCTTGTTTTCCGTTTAAGTGCCTTATTGCAGGGCTTGCATGCCCCACTTCTGTTCTTTTTGTAATCTTTTATGTGAAAAAACTGACAAAAACCAAATAAAATCTTTGTGAAAGAAAAAATGGCTCCAGTGATGGGACTACTAGTTATGTATTGAGATTGTAGTCCATCACAGGAGTAAGCTTGGAGCGGTGAAAGTAAAAAAGAAAAAAAAAATTGTGGTGTGCAATATAGTGAAATGAAAAGTGTAAAACTATACAGCAATGAATGCAGAATGGCATCGGCTATAGAGGACTACAACAAATCCCAGCAATAGTACATTATAAAGTGGTACAATGCTAAATACCACCAGCTATAGAGGACTCCAAAACCCAGCAAAAGCACATTATACAGCGCAATGCAGAATACCGCCAGCTATAGAGGAATACAACAAATACCAGCAATAGTACATA